AGCATAATAATGCTACCACCAACCTGTGTATGACTTGTTGTATGGGGGGGAGCAATCACCCGAAAGACAGCATACTCTGATATGACCTTCAACGTGATTGAGAAATCATAATTCATCCGACAAAGACAACTGCCTTCCAGTTATCCACAGTCTAGTCTCTATGCTCCTGGTCCCACTGTAGGCATATTTGACAATTTATTCCAGTGTGTATAATGTATTCCATATTTTACTTTATGAAACCATTTACACAATCATATAACAGACCCACTATTTAATGCATACCAGAAATTAAATGAGCCCTCTTTTTAAACATTTTGATGAATAAAAATTAACTCTTCATGACTCCTTAAATACTTCATTAAAAAAAAGTTATGTACTGTTAGAATCAATCTGAAACAGATTATGTACAATTTTGCAGAAATCGGAAACATTTTAATAAGTTGTCACAAAAATATTCCCTCCCTCCTAATAATCCTTGTTTCTTAGGCGGGGTGTTTCTCTTGTTTCTACGGGACAGGTGTAACTGCTTATAAATATTCATAAAAAGAAGCATTTTATACAAAACAATATTGCTGCCTTAATTTGATCCCCATTTTAAAACTTTTCTTGCCGATTCTGACACTGCATTTTAAGAAAATTCGGTTGTACTTACACAGATGTCGAACAAGCATGTGCGAGTTGACTGTTATTGTATAAGGTCAAAAGTCTTTAATACGGAATGATCTATGATCCGGACCTCAAAGCTACAAACTTTCTGCGCATGCGTAAATGCATGATGCATTTTCGAATGTGCATAATACTTTTACGCATGCGCATAATACATTTACGTATGCGCATTTAATGTATAACGGACGGTATAAGCTAAGCTAAAATTATCTAATTATCTATTTCAGTTAATGTTGGAGATTGTGTTGTTCTTTAATCTTCTAATTGGATCCGGCTTATTATTTTTTGCAGACTGTTGGAGCAATTTTATAAAAAGTAAGCTTGAACTTTCGAATATGTCAAAAAGAGTTTCCAATTCTGGAGCTGCCAAAGGATCTACAAAGCGAAAGCATGTTTCGATGTCCATTAAACAAAAAGTGGAATTGCTGCAAAAAATCGATAAAGACATGAAGAAAGTGACAGAGAGGTCATTTGTTTCTCTAACCATTCTGAAATCTGTTTATCAATTTCACGCTGCTCTGCGGGAAAGGGGGGACATTGCAACGCGCAATGAACGGTAGGCTGATCTGTCAGCACTATCCTCATCTTCAGGGCAGATATTTTTATTTTATTCAGCTTATAATTCCTTACTAAATGTAGTGTTTCATCTCGATGTACTCCGATATGCTTTAAATCAATTTCCTCATCATTATAAATATTACGAATACACATCAAATAGTTTTCTGGTTGCAATTTTCTAATTTCGACTGTGCGTAATGTATGGTTTATGCATGCGTGCATTGAAAGAAATGCTTAATAAAGCAAACAAATAAATATTAAACTTTGTTTTTTAAGCAATTCCACTGTTAGAGCAATTTTAAAAAAGTAAGCTTGAACTTTCGATTATGTCAAATAGAATTTCCGATGCTGGAGCTCCCAAAGGATCTACAAAGCAAAAGTATGTTTCGATGTCTATCAAACAAAAAGTGAAAATGCTGCAAAAGATGAATAAAGGTATATCCTTTGTTTCTCTAATCATTCCGAAATCTGTTTATCAATTTCATGCTGCTCTGCGGGGGGAGTGCGTTGCGCAATGAACTGGAAGTTGATCTATCAGCACTATCCTTATCTTCAGAGCAGATGTTTTTATTTTATTCAGCTTATAATTCCTTACTAAATGCAGTATTTCATCTCGATAAATTATGTCTTTCATATGATTTAAATCAAATTCCTCGTCACTATTGCGAATACACATCAAATAGTTCTGGTTGCAATTTTCTAATTTCGACTATGCGCAACGTCTGCTTTACGCATGCGCGAGTTGAAAGAAATGTTTAATAAAGTAAACAAATAAATATTAAGCTTTTTTTTTGTGAATTTTGATACCCTTTAGATCATAAATTATCGTTTCATATTTTTAATTTTATAATTTCTGCATGCCATCTTACCAGATTTAAAATTGATGATCTATAATCCAGAAAAACTGATAATCCGGAATTGCCGAAGTCTCGACTTGACTGTACAAGTAACATAAAAAATATGTACATTAAAATTTTAACTTTAACTTCACCAGGACCTTAATTCTTCATTTTAATTTGTGTATATTTCTTTTTTGTTTCAAAAATAGTAATTGCTTATAATCAACTTCTCTTAATTGCGATTATAGCGCCATTATAGATTTTCACATAAAAGTGATGATACAAGTAGTTTTGCAAAACACAGTCAAAAGTCGTTAATCCGGACACCCATAATCCGGACCTTAAAGCTACAAACTTTTTGCGCATGCACGTAATACATTTACGCATGTGCGTTTAATGTATAACAGACGGTATAAGCTAAAATTATCTAATTATCTATTTTAGTTAATGTTGCAGATTGCGTTGTTCCTTAATCTTCGAATTGGAACCGGCTTATTATTTTTTGCACACTTTTAGAGCAATTTTATAAAAGTAAGTTGGAACTTTCGATTATGTCAAATAAAATCCGATGCTGGATCTACAAAGTTAAAGCATGTTTTAATGTCCATCAAACAAAAAGTGGAATTGCTGAAAAAAATGGATAAAGGCTCCTTTGTTTCTCTAACCATTCCGAAATCTGTTTATCAATTTCATGCTGCTCTGTGCAGGGAGGGGGACGTTGCGGCACGCAATGAACTGGAAGTTGATCTGTCAGCACTATCCTTATCTTCAGGGCAGATGTTTTTATTTTATTGGGCTTATAATGTAGTATTTCATCTCGATGTACTCAGTCTTTGATATGATTCAAATCAAATTCCTCGTCATTATAAATATCACAAATACAAATCAAATAGTTTTCTGGTTGCAATTTTCTAATTTTGACTATGCGTAATGTATGCTTTACGCATGCACGCGTTGAAAGAAATGTTTGATAAAGTAAACAAATAAATATTAACCTTTTTTTTTTTTTTTTTGTAAATTTTGATACCTTTTAGATCATAATTGCGCTTTATTTCATATTTTTAATTTTATAATTTCTGCATGCCACCGAAGTCCCAACGAGTCCGGATTAAAGACTTTTGACTGTATCAACCAACCAAAAATAATTTCAAATCTTTATTAATGAGCAAATGAAATCATATTGAAATCAAAACTAATTCATTCTGAATCGATATTTCTATCTCAAACACATTGGTTCTGCTTCTCTTGCTAATGCTTGGTCTCTTTAAAATTTATCTTTTTAAATTCTACTGATTTAATTCTCCAAAAACAGGCACAATGGTGCCCAAAATTTCATGTTGGCTTAGCTAAATAAAACATAATATTTAAATCTGCCTCAAATGCAAGTTTGTTCTTTATCGTGTATCTTAAATGTATAATCATGACCTCAAGCACTTGTATATGTCTCAATATTAGAACCATCAACAAAATTTCCAAGTTATTACACGTATAGTAAAAAATATGCCAAAAAAACATCACAATTCTACTAAATGTTAAAGTCATCATTAATTTCATTTCAGTACAAGTGATTTACATAAAAGCTGATAATGTTTTCTCATCACTGGGGTACCCAAGTGCGAAACCATACTCCTAATCAAATACAGTTGTATTTTCCAAATAAATACCAAAAACATTAACTAAATCCAAAATAACAATCCTCTTTTTGGGGATACTCAGATAACTGGCACTTGGCGAACTTCCTGAAATCGCGTTTGCCAAGTTGGGCGATGCGCGCCATAAAGTAGGAGGACAGTTTAGTTTGCTAGTTTAAATCTTCACTACGCTAGGGAGAAAGGGAAAAGGGAAGGGATGTTTTCTTTCTATATGTAAATACTTTGCTTTGGCTGTAATGACTTTGTATATGAATCGTCGTGCTGATCACGTAACTTTGTCATCAGACGTGGTGCATACGCTCATATGCTGTTTGTTGTTCCGTATGATCATTCGATATTTAATTATTTTATTAGAACAAAATATTATTTACTAGACTATTAAAATCTATTAGACGTCTAAATACTATTAAAATCATAATTATTTAATTACCGGAGACGGATTTCAAGTTGCCATAAACCATTTGCTATACTAAAAAAATTTTAGAAAATAAAATTACTATTAAAATTATTAATGATTTAAAAATCAAATAACTAAGTATTACCAAATTAATTCATAATTATTTAAATAATATTAATACTGCACTCCCAGTTGCAGTTTAATTACCTTAACTCCAAGACGAACTACCAGAGTGCAACATTTTTACTGCTATCTCGCTGACAAACACTCTGTATCATACAAGCAATTTTTTAATACCTTCTAGTTAAGTTTATATTGAAATAAAATGCTTATAAGACTTTGAAATAAATTAGAAAAAATAATATGTGAGCTGAAATAATAAATGAACTTTGAGAAATTTCAGTATAATAGAGCTGTTGAACTAGAAAGTGGTCGAACTGGTGCGATTGCTGAAAACATGCAAAAAAAAAATTAGCAAGTTAAGATGCGGGAACTTTGGTGCTTTCCAGTAAAGTGGTATGAGACAATAAATTAAGGTATTGGATGAACCTACAATATATTTCCTCATCCTTTGTGAATCAAATAACAACATATGCAAACTGTTAGAATTGCATTTCTCATTTGCTCATATAAAGCCAGGTTCAGAATTAATCAATGTATTTTGAACTGAATATTAGCCAAATATTCAGTTAAAAATATATATAGAACCAATATTAGTCTGGATATTAGCCAGAAAGAGAACCTTATTTGTCTTATATCAGTCTCATTGTACAACTTATTAAAAATAAGAAAACTCAGTACAAGGACTGAATTTTATAAAGTATGTCGACATCATCATATGCTATTTTTATAAAATCCTGTATAAATAAATTACAAGCGAGTTTATAATACATTATTTAGGGCGATATTTTATTTTCATTCTACAAAAAGTTCTTTCTTGAAATTACTGTACAAATTCTTAATTAAAAATATAAAATATTTAAAAGTCCACAGAAGTAAATGACATTCACATGTTAGTCTCAAATAATTTCTATATATTAAGGCATTGTGAGTTAATTATTTAAATTATAATATTTTAGGTATAATTTTTAAGTATTTAATCAGCAGAACTAATGATTCAGATAATTTAATATTTTTGATGAAAGTGAAATTTACATCAACTAGAAAAATAAAAATACATATAGAATAAATTCCTCATGCACAATATAAATTTCACAGTTTACTAAATGCATTCTTGTACTGCAAACTCAAGTGATAGTTTAAATTTTTAATCCAACTCCTTTTTCTAATAATTCAAAACGACAGTAACAATATATCTAGTTATCTGTACATAAAATGATTATCCGAGTAATTTTATCAATTCACATTCTTCATATCAATAATGTAACAGAAATAAATCATGAATACAAAACATATATTTTTAATACAAGAAAATGCACTTTGTGACAAAATATTTAGAAGATAATTCTTATGAACACTATTACGAAGTGGTAAATACCAAGAAATCGTGATAATATTTACCTTAGTTACATAAAGCAATAAACATGTCCCAATAGCGTACCTAACATACAATGCAATACTTAGTGGTTATCTTACACCTTGCTACAATGATGTGAAACATTAAATTGCAGTACCTCGCTCCAGATTTTGCTTAATTTCTGCAGTGTACTGACCGTAAAATCGCTCCAACTTTTTGTTGAATTTCATGTTTCGTTCATTAATGTAATTAATATCGGCATCGTCATTATAACGTCGTCTTCTACTGAATTTAGAATGCTTGTCAATCTGCTTTTCCAAATCTTCCACCATATTATCAATGCTCTCTTTGCTATCTTGATGTAAACCAATGATGATCGTATCTTTCGTAGGATAGAATGCTTCCCCCATCTGTTCCTTTTGTTTCATATATGTAGCCATATCTGGTTTCATTTTCTTGGTCAGTCTTTCGTACTGTCGAACAGCTGCATCTTCATAACTTGAAAAGCCAGGATCAGGGTTTTTCTTTTTCTTTAAACGTTCCCACTTAGCAGCATCCTCTGCAGTAACATTTAATAATTTAGTTCTTTTATAATCTTCGCCTTTAGCTGCAGCTTCTTGTTTCTTTTCTTCTTCTTCAATAAAATACTGTTCCCATTTATTTTTTTTTTCGTAATTAGGTGGTAGTTTAAGACGTCGATCTTCTTCTTCCACTTCTTCACGATTAAGTTTCCTAGATTCTTTTCTACGGAACTTTAACTCTTCAAACTTTTTAAGTCTGTCATTAATGCTGCACTCCCCCATGCTGGTTTTAAATTATCTTTAAACGAGACAGAACCTTACACAAATACTATGTATTGACGTTCTTTGCCTTACACAGGGAAGTAATTGTATACAAAAAAAAATTCACTGTAAGTGTTGCCACCTTTTAGAAAACGATAAAGAAAGTAAAAATGCTGAAATTAATTAAGGAAAATATAAAATTTCTAAATAAATCCAAAACTTAAAATTAAGATGGAAAATTTGCACAAACAATTTAAAGAATACCTAACATTCCCTAACATATTTATGCCTGGAATTAATTTGCATTTGAAAGCGTCAGTAATTCGGAAAATGGTGAGAAACAAAATACTAGAATAAATATGAATACTAGAATATTAGAAATAATAATATCAAAGTATATTAATTTGCGTGAAATTCTTTAATACTTCATACCCTTCTCCAAAAGCTGCAATTAAATAAATACAGTTGTTCTAAGTGGATATAGTTCGGAGAGCAGATTTGACACTAGAGTTTTAACCTATCGTTTGTATAGCTATAAAGACGATAGCGTTTAATAACAAATAAGTGTGTATGCGCAGTATGAAAAGAAAATCTTTTATGCTAAAAACAGTCTGTGTTCTTACAAAACACGAGATGAAAATAGCGAGTTGTCGATGAGAATCCGCTGAGAGAAGAGCCCCTGGAGCCATCTGTTGAGCAGTTAAATGCGTTAAATGTTAAGCATAAAGGTGAGCTGAAAGTCAAATAAGTCCTGCATTTATATGAAACATTCAAAATAAAACGAGAATTTAAGAATACACATAATGTTACATAAATATGGTAAAGGGATACTAAAAGTGCGCATTAAATCAAAACTTGAGTTAAAAACAAAACTTGAGATGTACGTGGCATAGGATGAAGTTTAAAATATAAAATATGAGTTCTTAAGAGACATTGACAAAGGTCCGTACAGTGAAACCTTGGATGGACCACTGTACGGACCTTGGACCTTGAATATTAGGTATCAAAATGTGACATAGTAATGCATATAAGACATAAATTGATAGGGTTATAAGAAAATACTTGGGTTGAAAAGGTTGATTGAATTAAAGTTGAAAATCAGTAAAATTTGAGAAAATACAAGAACTAGGGAAAATATTATCCAGAATTCAACTTTTGAAGGAAACAAAATTTTTCTTCGCTGCGGATCCCTTTACAGTAAAGCTACTACAGATACCCTTTATATGAGCATTAGCAGATCGGGAAGAATATTCAGAAAGTCTGGTAACGTTTGCTGTTTGCTTATTAATAAGAGTAATAGTATAGAAATAGAACACAAATCAATAAAATCTAATTCCAAGTATGATTATTGATAATTTAAGAAAAAATACGTGTGCGGCACATGTAAATGTTTATTTAATGCTTTGATTTATTTTCCGTTTATTAAACTTTAAGAAACCATCGAGGCAAAATAATTTTTTTTTTAATGTAGCTCATTTGTTCTGCGTGGATATATATGAAAACGGCCATTGCTGGATTTTAAACTTCCCGTTTGTAGATTAAAATTGTCTGATAACTGAACAATATATAATATAACAATATATATCAATATATAGTTGTCATAATTAAATTTTAGGTAGGGAACGAAACAATTTTTCAAGTATTGATACATGTTTTATTAATTAATTTCATTGTGGCATCAGTATAATGGTATTCGTTTATAAATTGGTAAATAACGTAGTTTAGTGTATAATTATATAATTTGGTGGGATTTGTGTAACCATTGTTTGACACTTGTAGCTTTTTTTCTTCAGATCTTGCGTAATGCTTTTTGGTATGCTTTGAAAAATCTATAATGTCTAATAATGACAGAATATTAATAAGTAGTGGTGTTTACAAAATTGAAGGTGATGGCCTCTAATAAGGATGTTGATTCGATCAGAGCAGAGCTTCAACCAAGTGAGATATTGGGGGAGACTGCTAAAAATATGCAGTGTAGTTCTGTATCGGAAACTAATATTGTACCTTCTGTAGAGAAAGGGAGTGAATTATCACGTGATGTTTCTTTTAAGTGCAATTCTGTGAGCAGTGAAAATAGTGAAGAATGCATTACTCCTGTAAAACAAAATAGCACTTATGAATTTGCTTCACCTGAAACTGATGAAAATCGTACTATTTCAACCGATTCGGATGGAAGTAGCCCATTGTTTAAGAAACGAAAATTATTTGACTTAGAAGCTATTTCTCCAAGTCAAAGTTATATATTCTCTGATGCACAGATTGCAAAAGAAGATATGACTTGTGCTGTAATTGCTTCAGAAAAGGCCTTAAATACCTTTGTTGAATGCCTTGAAGGTATAAATTTTGAAAATACTAAATCAAGTGTTACGGATTCTTGTGATACCGCTGATGTGAACGTTAAAGAAAATAGAGAATCAAGTACTGCTGCTACGTGTGATGTAACTGATATCAGCTATGAAAATGCATGCAGTTCTAAGGTTAATGACCAGTCTAGAAAAGGTATTAAACGTAAGAGAAGAAGTATGCTGTCTAGTAGTTCTGTAACAGAAGATGTTCATACAGTACCTCATAGACCTGGTATTGAGTGGAAAATTGGAGAAGCACTGAAAGTTAAAGAAAAATCGCTTTGGTATGATGCTAAGATTGTAGATATTGATTTAGTAAAATTAAGAGTTAAAGTACATTATTTAAATTGGAATTCAAGATATGATTCATGGTTATCAATGTTGAGTGAAAATATAAAGCCATCAGAAGTAAAGTCATCAGGAAAGAAAATTTGCAAGCAGTACAATGAAGGTCAGAGAGTTCTTGCGAAATGGAAGGATAATAAAATGTATGAAGCAGTCATTAAGAAATGCATTGGAGATGATAATTATCTAGTTTTCTTTAAAGAGGATGGTATGAAGCGTAAACTTCACACATCAGATATTCAAGAAATTTACAAGAAAAAGGTACCAGTTGTTTCAAAATCGGATGAGCAGAGTGAAGTTAAAGTTGCTACTAAAGAATTTGTCATTCAAGAAGATCATAATCAATATAAGTGCTCTTACGATGGCTGTACTAAAAGCTTTCGCAAAGAAACTCTTTTAACGTCGCATTTAAAACACTATCATGGTGAGCAGAAAGGAAAGAATGATGTCTCTAGCAAAGTACAGGAATGTAAGAGTGTAACTGAAATCACTGTGGGTAATAAAAGAAGGCATAGCATAAAGCAAAAAGAGTCTGTACGTCATGTAAAAAGTAATCTTGAGGTAGGAAATGTTGCAGAAGTTTTATCAAAATATGTTGAAATTAAAAAAGAGAATAAAAGAAGATTAAGTCTAAAACAAGAACTTGTCGATGGTCTTAAAAAAGACTTTCAAACAGCGCTTACCAGTGAAGCAGTTAAAGTCCTGGAGGTAAAAAATGAAATTCCTTCAAATGGGAATTCAGATGATGTGGGCCAGCAGTTAAAAACATCTGCAAAAATAGACACTCCTGTTCCCCAGAGATCTTTCAGGAGAAAAGTTTCTCTACCTGCTAAATATGCGAATTCAGAAGTTTATTTGACCTCTCCTGTTATTAAACAAATCCGCAACTTAAGTGATGAAAGAGAGACTTTCCCTGTTGTAAAACATCCAGAGAAAAAAACCTCAAAATCAATTGTCCAAAGAAGGAAAGAATCGGTCTATACTGTAATGAGTGGTTTTGCATCCAAATACAATGATAAAGAAAAGAAAATGGAAAAGAGTGTTAAAAAACCAAGTATCATTGAGCGACTGGTAAACAAATCTCGGTCATTACGATCACAGTACAAAATAACAAATCGTAAATCTAATATGCTAAAGAAAAGAAATACTGCTTGGAAGAAAAGTAAATCTCAGATTAGTTCAGAAGATTTGAGAAATGAAAACTTGAATTGTGATGTAAATACAAGTGAAAATAAAATTGTCGAAGAGGTTGAAGTAAGTAAAATAATCAACCAGGAAGCAAAATCCAGCACATCGGAAGATATTCAATCACATAGTAAATCCAAAATATTAAATGAAAAAGAAGTTGCTAATGTACATGCAGCTAAACCTGACATAACTGAATTTAGTGTAACTAAGCTTAGTACTGAATCATTGTATGCTGGCCATTCTATGTCTTTGCCCTCAAATTCAGTTGAGCAGTTTGCAAATCAAGTCTCATCACAAATCGATGAAAATTCAGCAGCAGACTTTAATGAAGTAAATAAAACCTACAGAATGGCTGTTGATGCTGTATCAAGCCACTGGTCAAGTAATTCTCAAAATAAAGAGACAAATGATGATTTAAAAATGGCCACTAATATAGATATTGATAAAAAAAATCCAGGAGTAACTGATCTGCCGCCAAATAAAACTTCTCAGTTGGAGGACTTTGATGTTAAACATGATAAAAATATATCTTTAAGTTCTGTTTTAAATACTATATCCAAATCTGTGGATTCAGAGGATCACACCACGAATAATAATGCTAAAAAGGATATCAAAATTAAAGCTGATTCTACATCAACTAGTGCTTCTTTAGTTCCCAGTCATGTTATGTGCACGCGTTTTAAAGATTCAACCTTGGAAAAGGCAAAATTGGAAACTAAAGAAAATAGCTGTGTTTTACCTGTCAGGAGGAGAATAAGGAGGCCTCCTTGGACAGGAATACGGTATCGGCGGAGAAGAACTCGATCAAAAAATGACTCGTTATCAAAAGATACTGAATCGATAGTTTCAGATAATGCAGCAGTATCTCCAGAAAAAGATGCAGCTTCTGATGGTCCTAAATACAAGATTCCCAACCTATCAGAAATCGAAAACTCCGAAAGTCTCGAAGGGGATGATCTTGTGGTGTGTGTATGCAACAGTACCGCAGACGAGGGCAAGATGGTCCAATGCGATTTCTGCAAAACATGGCAGCATTGTGTGTGTCTTAATATAAAATATGTTCGACAAGATGAAGAACATATGTGTCATAACTGCCGTTATTCTAAAGCCATCGAGGAAACAAAAGATAAACATGACATGGAATGGATTTCGAAACGGGAATTACCCTTCTTCAAATTTTCACAGCTGGCTTCTATGAATGAGACTGAGAAAGAAGCAAAAATTCAACCTTTGATGCAGATTGTCGATTTTTACAACCGTGCCAAAGATCTTCAAAGGATTTTGACAAAATGTAAGCATATCTATACCTATCTCAAAGAATGTTATCGTGATAAAACAGATGAAGAAAAATGTAGTGATTCCACTTTATCAAATGCTTCTGCTTCATCCGATTTGGATAATTTGACAGCAGCGGCATATATAATTGTTCCAGAAAGTTTATGTTCAATTTATTTTCTTGATATTTTGATCAGTGATCATTTTGCTGAAAAGTATGCTGTTGATATTTTAACAGAAGAAGAAATAAATATTCTGGTTTCATTGAAGCCTTCCATCAGCTCTTTTTTGCTAAATTGTGAAAGGAAATCAGAAAGGAAAAGTGACAGAGAATCTGAATTTCTGACTTGTCACTCAGAGATTAAACCTATTTTAGTGAAAATTCTTAATGCTTGTAAAATGTTGACCTACAATGAAAAATTATGCACATCTGTAGCTTCTGATACTGTCTTGAAATCTAATATGAAAATGAAATTGGAGAGGAGTAGTGATTTTGCAAAATTATTTCAAGACATCAGATTGGGGAAAAAACCATCTTTAGACAGCATTTTAGAAAATGAAGAGTTTTTAGAATCATACTCTTTAACAAGCACTGGAAATTCAGACTCCAACAAAAAGTGTGAACTCATTGGATTCCTTGTGCTTAAAAGATGTGAGAACGGTGAAAATAAAACCTTATGTGTTGGGCTTGGTACTGTAAATGTAATAACAGTAGATAAACTTGATGATTCTTTTGATAATAAAATGTCTACAGAGAAGGAAAAACTGAATATTTTAGATGCGTTAGGAAAGGATCTTGAGAGTATAGATGTAACCCATGCAGCATTTTGTCCGAAAGAAGTTATGGAAAGTTTGTTCAATTTTTTTAATTATGCGAATTCAGAGTTGACTTCACTGTTGACAGCAATACAGGCTGCAAATGATGCCGATGATCCACCATTAGAAGAATGCAAAACAGAGTATAGCAGGGATAATATATCCAATGTAATAAAAGGAGTAGTTAAGGATTTAGAACTTCTGAAATCGATTGAGCAGTTTAATATAGTTAAGTGATAGATTTGAAATATATGTTGCAAAGTATAAAATGAAATCCAAAATTTAAAAATATGTTGGAAATTATAATTGAGCAAAAATTTGATGATGTGTGTTCTGTCGAATTTCTAGCGATATCAAAAAGGCAGTCTCGGTTTAAAATTTCGGCTAATCTTTGGAATATAATAACAAGTAGTTTGGCGACATTTTGGTAAGGCGATAAAGGTTACTAGCTAGAACTTTAGCAGTGTACATGGATAAAGTCAAGAGTGTGCGCAATGCCATTTGTGTGCAATTCTGGGATTTTTTTTAAGTCAAAATAGGTCGACGTGTACATGGATACCGTGTATGTGCAATTCTTAAAAACGCAAGCAGTTTGCGATTCTGCACTTTCTCCCAATTTCGCACCTAATCATCCTCATGATTAAGCACTTTTGTTTCATAAAAGTTCTTGCATAAGCGTAATTCGGCTAGCAGATTGTTGGAAAAAATGTTGAGTTAAAAAAAAAAAAAAAAAAAAAAAAAACTTCATGAAAACAAAATGGCGTCCAAAACAAAACTAGCAAGTTGGTGTAGCAGGGTTGGTCGCCAAAAAATCGCCAAGTTACCATAATCCAAAGATTAACCAAAATTTCTCCTCTTTCCCTCCCTAGGTTCTTTTTTGAATTGAGTGATTATACTAATAAAAAAACATTTTAATTTTTGTTCTCTTTTCTATTACAGGCAGAGCTGCTGTAATTGTTTTTATTAGCTGTAACTTTTAAATTGTGTGTAAACTTAGAATGATTTTCCCTTTCAAATGCCAGGGTGAAAACCTGTTTTACAAACTCTGAAAATAAATGAATCACTTAAACTGATCTGTGGAAAATAGATGAACATTCAAAGATTTAAAACGAAATTTCAGGTTTGTAATATCTAAACTTAATATGAAGTCTTGTTCAAAATTCTTAACATGAATAACATTATATACTAAAAGTAACTGCTTTTTCGAAAAGTGGGACTTCTTTTATAAGTTGGAAAGGAACTAAAATATTTTCATAATGGAGTAAAAAGTGCTGTGTTTAGTGCATTTTATAAGATTCATGAATAAATTTGGATAGAAAAATTTTTTAATCAAATTTAGATTTAATATTAGATTTATTTCCTAAATTCTTATTCATTTAATTTAGATCTTAATGCTTAACATAGTATGTATTTTATAAATATTTATGTTTTCATAATATTTCTCAAGTTAACAGAAAATCTCAAATTACTAAATTTTATCACATCTCTTAAATTTGGATTCAGCTGAGTATATATAGCTAAAACTTGATAGTATATCACTGTTACTGATAAAAAAAATATTATAAATAATTTTGAGTTAAAAAAGATTTAAGTCGATCTTTTAACATTTTCTCATTAAGTTTTAAATTAAATGTTTAATCCTAGTATACGATGCATACTAGATTTGGTGACTTTATGTTGAGCAGTAAATGTGACATATATGGTGAGTAGTAAACAGGTCATTTTGATGTTGGCGTTTGTTTGATGAATTTTCAAAATCGTATCAAGGCTGCACCGTATACTAGAATTTTACAAAAATTTAATCTAGAGGAAAAAAAATGGGTGTAACTAAATGAGACTAGAAGGCAACAGATGTTAAGGCTCCTTCTCCACTATTGTTCCCAACCTTAACCAAATTTTTTTTTAACTATGATTAAATATTTTCTTAATTATCAAAGTATCTTTATACACTTTAATTGAATGAAACATTTTTCAATAAATGAACTTTGATATTGCTATCATACATTACATTTTCTTCCTGTCTTGTTAAGTTTCATTGACAGGTACTATTATATTTTATTTTTGAAATTCTTGTTAAGTTAATGACATTCGAAGCTATTAAACATCATGCAGAGCATAAAATGTAACAGGCAATATAATTAATCTGAAATGTTTGCTAGCAAATTATTCAGTATACTTTATTCTAACACCTGGATTATAAAAGTCTGGGCTAATCTTTGGAATATGGTAACAGGTAATTTGGCGACATTTTGGAAGGCGATAAAGGTTACTAGCTAGGACTTTAGCAGTGTACATGGATAAAGTCAAGAGTGTGTGCAATGCTATTTTTGTGCAATTCTGGGATGTTTTTTTAAGTGAAAATAGGTTGACGTGTACATGGATGATACCGTATATGTGCCATTCTTAAAAATGCGGCAAGCAGTGGGCGATTCTGCACTTTCTCCCAATTTTGCACCTAATCTTCATCATGATTAAGCTCTTTTGTTCCATAAAAGTTCTAGCATAAGCGTAATTCGGCTAGCAGATTGTTGGAAAAAAATGTTGAGTAAAAAAAAAACATGCCTTTACTTCGTGAAAACAAAATGGCGTCCAAACAAAAACTAGCAGATTGCTGTATCAGGGTTGGTCGCTAAAAAATCGCCAAGTTACCATAATCCAAAGATTAACCAAAGTCTGTTTTCTAACTGTTTATGTAAGCAAATTCATTAATTACAAGGTTGCCAAACTACCTGAAAAACTGGAAAAGTCGGGGAATTTGAAAATTGACCTAGGGAATTTAAATATTTTAGTCAAAATCTGGAAAAGTCAGAATTTGATACAGTGATCAGAAAAAAAAAAAAGGCGATTTTTATATCAACGTTGGAAGTGATCACTTTCTTGGCAAATTATGTATCGCATGAGCGTCATTTGGATGGCTAGTGTAAAGCCAATTTTTGCAACTCCAATCAGATTTGTCTTTTAGAAAGGCAAAACAAGTTTCCAGTAACCTCAAGAATCGAGAGTTTCACATGCACATGTGCAGTGCATGTTGAACAAAAAAAAAATATATCCCCATTCTCATATAAAACAAAATCAGTTTAATCCTAGTATAATATACACTAGAGTTTTGGCGACATTATGATTGATGGGCATTAAACAGGTCAATTTGGTGTTGGCTGCAGTTTTCAAAATTGTGCCAAGGCCGTATCGTATGCTAGGATTTTACCACAAAATCTTTTAAAACTTTTTTCCTTATTATAAATGCTTTACTTGTCATTTTGCTGTAAAAGAAAAAAATAGTAATCTTTCATCTTGATTAACCATGTAATATAATTATATTTGCGAAAATAATTGTTGATTATTGTAATTCAGTTTTTAATCATTAAGTAATTTATTTTAATGTTTTTTGTAACTTTATTTTAATGTTTTTCATATCATTTGAAGTGGCTTCTTCCTTCTAAATTTATTTATTATTAGTTAATAATACTTTCAAATTTCTAGCAATTTTCTCTGGCATACTCCTGAAACTAATTATGGTAAAAATATATTTACGGGTGCCTCTTGGCGATTTTGTAGAGTACATGGACACCGAGTTTGGGCAGTTTTTTTTTTTTTTTTTTTTACTTGTTTATTGACTTTGTGTAGCAGCGATGCGGAAAAATCTGCTACACAAAATCAAAATAACAAGTCAAAGAATTGCACTATCCATGTACATATCAACCTATTTTCACTTCAAAAAACATCAGAGAATTGTACAGACTAGGCATTGAGCACTCCCTTGACTTTGTCCATGTACACATCGATCTATTTTCACTTAAAAAGTCAAAGGAGCACCCAATTCTACACTAGAGCCAAACAAGAATTATATAATCTCAATAAACTACATTTTAAATCAAACAATGAATAACATAAAAAGCAAATTCATTTTGTACCATCTAAGTACTATGCAAAGGAAATACCCACTTACCTTCTTTAGAAATTTCCGTGTCTTCAGTCCGTGGCACACAAAATTCCTTAACAGCATCATAGAAGATGAATATAGATAATCAGTACAAACGTGCTGTGCTACATTTTTTATTTTCATGTGGTGAATCTGTGAAGTTTGTAGCGATAAAAATTGATAGTGTACATGGTACATGGTTTAAAATTTTAAAGTTGGAAAAAGCAGCATTGATGATGAACATTGATGCATTGATGATGAAAAAGCAGTGAATTTTAATTGAGAGCTTTTGCCACATCCTGCTTACTCCCCAGATATTGCCCCAAGTGATTTTTACTTATTTCGTGCCTCAACAAATTTTTTACTGGGAAAAAATTAAATTCTAAACAGGATGTACACAATGAACTTTCAAGATTTTTTTGCATCAAAACCAGAGTCTTTCTACAGCAGTGGCATAAAAAAGCTGCCTGTAAGATGGCAAGACATTGTAGATAATGGAGGAAAATATACATTTGATTAAAATGTTAAATTGTGTTTTTTATATTATTTAAAAATTTACCAAAAATATGCACACGAATTTATGGACTGACCCAATATATATATAATTGTCAAATTTTTGTGTTTAATTTACCTCTTAGCACAGCCTACGTGGATAGACTGGAATCTTCTTAACACTTTACTGACTGATCACCTATTAATTGGCTTTTTATCGCCAACACCTACCGACCGATAGCCCATTGGTCGGCATTTTTTCGCCATTGCCTACTGACCGATAGCCTATTATTATTCACTTTTTTGTCAATGCTATCAAAAAATAGCCTATCAAGCGGTAGCCATGGCGATAAACAATTGTCATCTGCTATATCATCTGCATATTATTATTAGGAAGAATCTGTGGCTGAGTGGCCGGTCGGACATGCGTATGCTGTTGAACCGCTAGTGGTCCGTAAATTGTTAAAACACACTTGGAAAAGTCAGAGAATTTCATTCCCCTGTTTGAGTGGCAACCCTGTAATTATTTTACCATTGTTAGATTATTCTCTATTGAGAGCAGAGCTAAACTGGTGAACCTTTCCTGTTGCATACAGCTTTGTAAACAATATTTCGTTAATTTCAGTTTTGAGAATAATCAAGAGCAGGTAAGTACACGTTGCAAAAAAAAGGAGGGGACAGTTATATATCTCGTGTTCTACTGAACTGATTGTCAAAATTTAACTTGCATTTGCCATGTCTCGAAAGTGCGACTTAGGGTATATATTAGATTTATATATAGCATTATTCTAACATAGGTATTTTGAGACAAAATCGG